CTACATTATAAATTATAAATTTAAATTTAAATAAGAAATACTTACTTGGAGGAGAGGGTTGTGTAAGAAGAGCCAAATATGAAAAGGCTTTCAAATATTTAAATATTAAGTATTATGAAACATACTTTCATTTTGTGTTGGTTCTTCCAATGGTACAAAATTAATGGTTGGTAATGAAAAATTGGAGGCTTGATTGGAAGTAAGTGGCCAATGTTGAATAGTTCCTTCGTTTGGCATTGTATTTAAAGTGTCATCCATATCTAGAATTATATTATCTCTCTGGTTGTTAACAATGTTCACTTATCCGATTAATTAATTATTTAATTAATTATTATACAAAACTACAACCTACCACGTTTTGTTGGTTTCTTCTTCTTGATAGCGGTAATATCAGAAGACTTCTTCCAATTCCATTTAAACATATGTGGAATGCTCATTGTTGATGTTTGATTATTTGTTTGTTGTTAGTGTTGAAGTCATGTTGTGGGATGTAGTTTGTGGGAGGTGGATGTTGTGTGCGTGTTGTTGCATCATTTTTTTAAAATACAGCACCCTTTGCGAAAAGACAAAAATTAAATACTTGATGGCGACACATGCTGTGAATAAACTAATAATAATAGAGGGTGGGCAAGGGTGGGACCATAGTATGACAATTTTTTTGAGCATACTTTCTATTATTAGTTTATTCAATTGTTGTTTTCAAGAAACACTACTTTATCTCAGTAAACTTCGATAAGAACATGTTTCTTAAAAGAAAACCAACAATAAATAAACTAATGGATATTGTCCCGAGAAAGGAGAGTAGTAGACAAGTGGCGAGCGGCAAGAGCTTCTTGTCTTTGATAAGGTTGTAAAGATTTCACATCCTTATGTCTAGTCCCCATAATAATATCCTGAGTAGGAATTCCCTTGATAATACTCTCAGTAGTTGCACCAATACGTAAACTGTGACCAGAAACAGTGATTTCTGAATCAACAGAGAACATAGCATTCTTGATAAGTTGAGAAACATCTTCAGTGTTGAAGAAAATATTGTCCTGCAATGAAAACAATGGTGAATCTGCTTTTTTGAAATGCTGTACAGTGTTCATGTAATCAAAAAGCAATTTCACTGGACACACTGAAGGATTTTCAAGATGCTTGTCAATAGTAATCGGCTTTTCTAGTAGAAAGAAATCTGTTTTGTGACCACTGAGATCTAATTTGATGTTACCATTTCTAAGCTTTGTAACATAACCCCACTTGAGTCTAGCTAATTCACCTGGTCTAGCGAAAAGTCTGAAACCAATGACTAACATGGCACTAGTGAGTTTGAAAATGAAAGGATCATAATGATCTTTTCTCTGAATGAAACCTTCAATATGATGATAGAAAATTGGATCACGTTTCAAAGCTTTTCTATCAATCAAGGACCAAATAAGAGTAATTCCTCTTTTAATCTTATCATGACCATGAAATTGGAAAAACTCTTCTCTCAATATTGGCCCAAAATTGAAGGGATGGTCTCAAGGCTTCAACACGAGATGTTTGACCTTGAATTGTAAGATAAGCTGCATAATACTCAATAGCATAAGGGTCATCTGTTATACGCGATAAAAACTCGCATGAAGACCCAGGCAGTTAAATTCGTTGGTATGAACCTTCCAGGCGAAAAATACTTCTAGGATAGATTCTATTAAAATTATCCATCCCTAAAAGTCTGCTATATTAGGGATGGAATTAGACCTTGCACAAATAGAATCCAATTTGACAAAACTTATCTGTTAAGGTAGGAATTATCATTAAAATGATAAGTCTCATTAAACAAGCTCTATTAGCATGAATTTAGAGCCGTTATGTGTAATATCTTGTTTTATGAACCTATTCAATATCTACTAGGATTTTATGAATTATCAAGTATTAAAGAAGTATATTTAATTGGTAAATAATCACAGATTAGTTTTTAAAAAATTAAAATCTCCAATTCAATGAATTTTACACAATAAATTAATGTGTGATACAAAAGTACAATGAAATTTATTATTTTGATGTTTTGACTTGGTGAACATCTGGTTAGGCTGAGAACTTGCATGTTTTGAGAGAAATTTAAGATCTTTATGATCTCATCGAAATAAAACGAAATATTTGATATGGTACCATCTACAATAATACTAATAACAGTTTATTAATGTTTCAAGAAGTTTGGCTATATACTTTTGGCAT